AACACAGGGATCACTGCAAATGAACACATCTTGTGTGCATGGTTGTTATCTGTTCTCTTGCACTAGCATCAGTCAGTCAGCAGAGAAACAAAGCAGCGGCTTCATTAAAAATAATTTGGTTTTATGTTACAGAAGAGTGCCTTGATGAAGCTGTCTGCAACCAGGGAAACTGTACATGCAATGTGCAGTTCTTCTTAATGAAGTAAGTCTTCTATTAGTTTCCTAGATTGTTGGACTTTTTGTATGTATATTATAATTCTTCCTCATTCTTTCCCATTATTTAATCTTCTCTTAATGATTTTTCTGTATTACAACTTTTAATTTTTTTTTTTTTTTATAAATTTTGTAAAATCTGCCTTCAACTATTTACTTATCGTCTTCTAATTTTTTTTTCCAATATTGTTGCATATTTGGTGGATATAACATGAGTGAAGACAAGGTCACATGAGTGAAGACAATGTTACATGAGTGTAGACAAGGTTACATGAGTGAAGACAGTGTTACATGAGTGAAGACAATGTTACATGAATGAAGAGAGTGTTACGTGAGTGAAGACAGTGTTACATCAGTGAAGACAATGTTACATGAATGAAGACAATGTTACATGAGTGAAGACAGTGTTACATGAGTGAAGACAGTGTTACATTAGTGAAGACAGTGTTACATGAGTGAAGACAATGTTACATGAGTGAAAACAATGTTACATGAGTGAAGACAATGTTACATCAGTGAAGACAATGTTACATGAGTGAAGACAATGTTACATGAGTGAAGACAATGTTACATGAGTGAAGACAATGTTACATGAGTGAAGACAATGTTACATGAGTGAAGACAAGATCACATGAGTGAAGACAATGTTACATGAGTGAAGACAGTGTTACATGAGTGAAGACAATGTTACATGAGTGAAGACAATGTTACATGAGTGAAGACAATGTTACATGAGTGAAGACAATGTTACATGAGTGAAGACAGTGTTACATGAGTGAAAATAATGTTACATGAGTGAAGACAATGTTACATGAGTGAAGACAGTGTTACATGAGTGAAGACAATGTTACATGAGTGAAGACAGTGTTACATGAGTGAAGACAATGTTACATGAGAGAAGACAGTGTTACATGAGTGAAGACAATGTTACATGAGTGAAGACAGTGTTACATGAGTGAAGACAATGTTACATGAGTGTAGACAAGGTTACATGAGTGAAGACAGTGTTACATGAGTCAAGACAATGTTACATGAGTGAAGACAGTGTTACATGAGTGAAGACAATGTTACATGAGTGAAGACAATGTTACATGAGTGAAGACAGTGTTACATGAGTAAAGACAATGTTACATGAGTGAAGACAGTGTTACATGAGTGAAGACAATGTTACATGAGTGAAGACAGTGTTACATGAGTGAAGACAGTGTTACATGAGTGAAGACAATGTTACATGAGTGAAGACAGTGTTACATGAGTGAAGACAGTGTTACATGAGTGAAGACAGTGTTACATGAGTGAAGACAATGTTACATGAGTGAAGACAATGTTACATCAGTAAAGACAATGTTACATCAGTAAAGACAATGTTACATCAGTGAAGACAATGTTACATCAGTGAAGACAATGTTACATCAGTAAAGACAATGTTACGTCAGTGAAGACAATGTTATATCAGTAAAGACAATGTTACGTCAGTGAAGACAATGTTACATCAGTAAAGACAATGTTACATCAGTGAAGACAATGTTACATGAGTGAAGACAATGTTACATCAGTAAAGACAATGTTACATCAGTGAAGACAATGTTACATCAGTGAAGACAATGTTACATCAGTAAAGACAATGTTACATCAGTGAAGACAATGTTACATCAGTAAAGACAATGTTACATCAGTGAAGACAATGTTACATCAGTGAAGACAATGTTACATCAGTAAAGACAATGTTACGTCAGTGAAGACAATGTTACATCAGTAAAGACAATGTTACGTCAGTGAAGACAATGTTACATCAGTAAAGACAATGTTACATGAGTGAAGACAATGTTACATGAGTAAAGACAATGTTACATGAGTGAAGACAATGTTACATCAGTGAAGACAATGTTACATCAGTGAAGACAATGGTCGAAGCCTGTATGAGTTCACCATGAAGATGCTGGGCATTTGATGATGATTATATACACATATACATGTACGTCAATCTCTATCCCTTGTTTTTTCACTAAATGTAGAAAAAAATATTGTTTTGTGCTTGTTGAAACTTGACTGAAAGCAGCATGATAATCAAGAACTTGGTAAGCAAGATTGATTGAAAGAGAACAAGAGAAAGGAAAAGAAATAATTATCTGGATGGTCTGGTAAATATAGCAGCCATCTCAGTGTCTCCATGCTTGTTGTACCCAGTAAGAGTTGACTGGCAGATCTTTTTTCTTTGACCTACAGTCTGTTTCTACATACAAGTCATCATTTTAAACACATTTCCAACAGGCGGTTCATGGTATCTGACTCGTTTGTTTCAGTGTCTCTGGAACACAGCGCATTCAGTATGTCTGCCTAGTCCGTACAGATGATGAGGCAAAACAAAAACATTGAACTGTTCCGTGATTCTGGTGATTTTATGAGATAGTGACGCATGACAGCCTACGCTTACTGGCATGTCACATGATGATACTTTTATTATCATCTAGTTTCAGTGCTACATTGCAGATTATAGTATAATAGATTCTTGTCAGTTTTAATTCTGAACCTTTATTGTACATTTTACTAGACAGTAGCACGATAATAATATCTTTGACTTCCTCTAGCTGTTTTTTTTTTCTGTCACATTTCCCTCCATTTTGGTTTTCAATATACTCATTATGTATCGAAAGATGATTTCATATCATCATTATTCCCTATTATATTCTAATATTACAAAATATTCTTAAATATTCAGTGGCTATTGTCATGTGAGAAAGCTGGCTGACGAAGGATGTAACACAACGGTGCAGTGTGTGGCAAATTCTGAGTGTAACTCTTCAGTTAATGGAGTATGCAAATGCAATGTTGGTTACTATAAAAATACAGATCGTACCTGCGCTGGAAGTAAGTATTTGTTTCATTGCATTAAAACTTCTCTTCACAATAATAAACTGAGAATGAAATGTTTTTAGATTAAAAGGCATTAAAAAACCATTCTGGATAATCTGCTATATTATTATTTTTTTTTTTAAAGTGATTTTGCATAGTTTTATTATTGAGAAAAATCATTAAATAAAAAACATAAACAATTTCTAAATAACATGCAACTCTCAACTTAAATTTATGAAAACAAGTACACTCATTCTGCAGTTAAGTTTTAATTTCAATAAAAGGTCCTGAGATGCAGTTTGTACCTGCCTTGGATGTCAGGGAAGGACTTGGTGTAGCTGCTACTGCTGCCCTTATTATAGGAGCTTGAATGGGGTCTATGGGATTTTGTCTGTTGGATTGTTGTCCAGGTTGCCATTCTTTGAGTCACATGGTTGTTTTAACCTTTAGGAGCTGTAAAGAGGGGGAAGGGGGGGAGGAGAGACAGACAGACAGTCATAAGACATAGCTAAACTCTTTGGACCACTGAATGAACTAACAACAACAGTGAAATTTATACAAGAGACAAAACTGCTGATACAGACAACTTATTTCAGGCGAACGAAAGAAGAAAAAGAAGATAAGACACAGCTTTGGACATTTTGTTGACTAGAGCTTGTTGCCTAAGCTAAGATCTCTCTGATGGAAGTCAACTTTATATAAATGCAAGCTGAAATTGAACTCACTGATCTTTAAACTATAGTGTGTTTATAAATGCTTGCCGTTGTATTTTCAATAATTTCTTGTTTATTACTTATCATGGCAACAGGAATTTTTTCAGGCACTCCAATTTCCCTCTTGATGTTAAAGTTTTATACATAAATAACATTTAGACCACCCAGTTGTTTAGAAACAGACCTTATCTTTGTTTTTTCATCACTTGCTAATTTATAGCTAGTTGATAAACAAATTTTACATTGCTAATGTGAATTGTGAGTGTAATAGAACTTAGAGACATTTCTGCAATTGTTTACCACAAGGTCGTAAGTCAGTTATTTTTTGCCTTCTGATGTAGCAAACTAATTTTATAGTGTGTGGCGACACCTTCAGTGCAACAGCTGTGCTTGTATTTAGAATTTCTGTGAAAACATCAGAAACGTGCATGTTTTGAAAGATTGATTGAATAAATTTCAATTGTTTGCTGTATAATTTTTAAAATATCACCAAGCAAGGATCATTGTTTTTTATTTACCTCAAATGTGCAAGAATGCAATGTAATGACTTGTTATGAGCGCCAAACAAATGTGGCATAGTTTTGAGAATGAAGTCAATATTCATGTAAAATTTCATCCTTTTATACTCTAAAGAAGCTGAGATATAGATTTTTGAATATTGGCTCAAACTGAAAACACATGATAGAAATGTACATTGCTAGGTTTCAAGCATCCTCCTTTTTCAGGATGAAAGAAGAAGATAAAAATGAGTGTTTATCTAAGGATGCCTTACTTTTATCAAGAGACATTTAGTCCAGTATGGTGGATAGGTGGGCAGATGTTTTAATCCTGGCAGGTTATTTGCTTCTCGCCATGATTAGCTATCACATTTTCACCCATATGTGGACTAAAAGTTTACAGTGCCATCACCCATCTAATGAGTTGAGCTGCAGGTTTAATCAGGAATACTTTTTAATTGTGCCCAATGTGGTTTGTGTTGTAAACTTCAGATTCAGAAAGTGGCAAGTGGCTTGTTGCCAAATAACTGGTGGTGCCTTCTGCAGTTAATCGCACATGCAAATACTGATTTGTGATAACTGCTGTTTCCATCAACAACAAACTGCAATTCTTGTGGCAAGCTGTTTGTTGGCACTTATGGTGGCTACCTTATGAATTTGATACATGTATATGCTAATGGCTTTGCTAAGATTGTAGTCTGTTTCAACTTGTTCACAATGGGAGCAATGGAAACAATGGGAGCAATGGAAACAATGGGAGCAATGGGAACAAAGGAAACGATGGGAACAATGGGAGCAATGGGAGTGATGGGAACAATATGAGCAATGGGAACAATGGGAACAATGGGAGCAATGGGAACAATGGGAGCGATGGGAACAATGGGAGTGATGGGAGCAATGGGAACAATGGGAATGATGGGAGCAATGGGAACAATGGGAACAATGGGAGTGATGGGAACAATGGGAGTGATGGGAACAATGGGAGTGATGGGAACAATGGGAACAATGGGAACAATGGGAACAATCGGAACAATAGGAACAATGGGAGCAATGGGAACAATGGGAGCAATGGGAACAATGGAAGCAATGGGAACAATGGAAGCAATGGGAATTCTGTGTGACTTCCACTGGCACAGGAACAGACCAACTATGGGGTGACCTTTTTTCTGTGAAGATTGAACTGTCATTAATTGATTATCTCATTAATGTTTGTCAGTTAATAGTGTTTATTTACGTTATTGTATAAAGAAATCATAAAAATATAATTATATTGTGGCGGCTGTGGAATAGGCGTTGCGAGTACAACTTGTAATTCTAACGTACCGAAATCGAAACCCACTGTGTGGATTTTTATCATTTTATGGAGCATCGCAGGTTGATCCAGCCTTAAATAGGTACCAGGATGTATGTCCTGGGGAAGTAAAGACGGCCGGCATAATGCTGACCACATTACCCACCTTGAGCTGATTGGTCTCCAAAAATATGGGTGTTCTTCCCATAAACCCAATGCTCCTAGTGGTGTGAAAAGGTATCTTTACTATAATGATGTTGAAAAAACAAGTAAGTAGTCTGGCTGCTAAATATGGGGAAGGAAAATATTTTGAAATGCTTTGAATGCTGTGATTATAATTATTAACTATAAGCTATTAGGTGTTTCTTGTAAGTGAAGTCAAAATAAGTATTTGCCACATAAAAGAACATGAAATAGTTTCACATTTGCTAGTGCTATGCTCTTGTCATCCGCAGTTGTCCCCCCTAACCAGCCATGTACCGGCAAGGGACAGTGTGTCTCCAACGCTGAGTGTTCGACAAACCTTCAGGGGATCTGTACTTGCAGCGAAGGATACTTTGCTGATGACCAGAAATGTGCTCTTAAAAAGCCCCCAGATGAGACATGCATGGATGACAACCAGGTTTGTCAATCAGGTTTTTACAGAATTAATAATCAAATATATTTCTCACAGAATTGAAATAATAAAATTAAACATTTCTTTGTCATCATCCTGTAACAGTGTCTGCTACTGGGTCACCAGTTTATGTTGACTGTCTCTAGCCATTACAGTTGACTGTCTGATCAGCCCTCTCTAGCCCTGACAGTTGACTGTCTGATCAGCCCTCTCTAGCCATGACAGTTGACTGATCAGCCCTCTCTAGCCATGACAGTTGACTGTCTGATCAGCTCCCTCTCTAGCCATGACAGTTGACTGTCTGATCAGCTCTCTCTAGTCATGACAGTTGACTGTCTGATCAGCTCCCTCTCTAGCCATGACAGTTGACTGTCTGATCAGCTCTCTCTAGTCATGACAGTTGACTGTCTGATCAGCCCTCTCTAGCCATGACAGTTGACTGTCTGATCAGCCCTCTCTAGCCATGACAGTTGACTGTCTGATCAGCCCTCTCTAGCCATGACAGTTGACTGTCTGATCAGCCCTCTCTAGCCATGACAGTTGACTGTCTGATCAGCTCTCTCTAGCCATGACAGTTGACTGTCTGATCAGCCCTCTCTAGCCATGACAGTTGACTGTCTGATCAGCCCTCTCTAGCCATGACAGTTGACTGTCTGATCAGCACTCTCTAGCCATGACAGTTGACTGTCTGATCAGCCCTCTCTAGCCTTGACAGTTGACTTTCTGACTAGCTCTCTCTAGCCATGACAGTTGACTGTCTGATCAGCTCTCTCTAGCCTTGACAGTTGACTGTCTGATCAGCCCTCTCTAGCCATGACATTTGACTGTCTGATCAGGCCTCTCTAGCCATGACAGTTGACTGTCTGATCAGCCCACTCTCGCCATGACAGTTGACTGTCTGATCAGCCCTCTCTCTAGCCATGACATTTGACTGTCTGATCAGCCCTCTCTAGCCATGACATTTGACTGTCTGATCAACCCTTTCTGGCCATGACAGTTGACTGTCTGATCAGCCCTTTCTGGCCATGACAGTTGACTGTCTGATCAGCCCTCTCTAGCTATGACAGTTGAATGTCTGATCAGCCCTCTCTAGCCATGACAGTTGACTGTCTGATCAGCCCTCTCTAGCCATGACATTTGACTGTCTGATCAGCCCTCTCTAGTCATGACAGTTGACTGTCTGATCAGCCCTCTCTGGCCATGACAGTTGACTGTCTGATCAGCCCTCTCTAGCCATGACAGTTGACTGTCTGATCAGCCCTCTCTAGCCATGACAGTTGACTGTCTGATCAGCCCATTCTAGCCATGACAGTTGATTGTCTGATCAGCCCTCTCTAGCCATGACAGTTGACTGTCTGATCAGCCCTCTCTAGTAATGACAGTTGACTGTCTGATCAGCCCTCTCTAGTAATGACAGTTGACTGTCTGATCAGCCCTCTCTAGTAATGACAGTTGACTGTCTGATCAGCCCTCTCTAGTAATGACAGTTGACTGTCTGATCAGCCCTCTCTAGTAATGACAGTTGACTGTCTGATCAGCCCTCTCTAGTAATGACAGTTGACTGTCTGATCAGCCCTCTCTAGTAATGACAGTTGACTGTCTGATCAGCCCTCTCTAGTAATGACAGTTGACTGTCTGATCAGCCCTCTCTAGGGCTGTCTGATCAGATGCAATGGACTTCATGGTTGCATGACTAGGCCTTTTCAGTCAGTCAGGTATTTCCTGGTCTGCCTCTTCTCCTCTTTCCCTCTACTGAGCTCTGGAGTATTGTTTTTGAGAGGCTGTTAGATCTTATTACATGTCTGTGCCTTTGAGTTTTCTGTCTATTTACTGTAGTTAAAATCAACTCTGTCACTTTGAAATAACATGTGAGTGTGAGTGCTTTTTTTGTTTGTGTTACAAACATGGCTTTATTACGTTTGGTCAGAACTGATGACAGAAGTGACAGCTTTGCTGACAGCATCACTCTTCACAATATGATTACTTGTTATTTGTATCGACACTGTAGCACATCAGTCCGCTACATTTGTGCTTCATCCTCAGATGCAGCAGCCATCTCACTGTCTCCATGCTGACTGTACCCAGTAAGAGTTGATTGGCATATCTCAGAATCTCCATGCTGACTATACCCAGTAAGAGTTGACTGGCATATCTCAGTATCTTCATGCTGACTATACCCAGTAAGAGTTGACTGGCATATATTAGTATCTCCAAGCTGATTGTACCCAGTAAGAGTTGACTGGCATATATTAGTATCTCCAAGCTGATTGTACCCAGTTAGAGTTGACTGGCATATCTCAGTATCTTCATGCTGACTGTACCCAGTTAGAGTTGACTGGCATATCTCAGTATCTTCATGCTGACTGTACCCAGTTAGAGTTGACTGGCATATCTCAGTATCTTCATGCTGACTGTACCCAGTTAGAGTTGACTGGCATATCTCAGTATCTCCATGCTGACTGTACCCAGTAAGAGTTGACTGGCATATCTCAGTATCTCCATGCTGACTGTACCCAGTAGGAGTTGACTGGCATATCTCAGTATCTCCATGCTGACTGTACCCAGTAAGAGTTGACTGGCATATCTCAGTATCTCCATGCTGACTATACCCAGTAAGAGTTGACTGGCATATCTCAGTATCTCCATGCTGACTATACCCAGTAAGAGTTGACTGGCATATATTCTTCATGCTGATTGTACTCAGTAGGAGTTGACTGGCATATCTCAGTATCTCCATGCTGACTATACCCAGTAAGAGTTGACTGGCATATATTAGTATCTTCATGCTGATTGTACCCAGTAGGAGTTGACTGGCATATCTCAGTATCTCTATGCTGACTGTACCTAGTAAGAGTATACTGGCATATCTCAGTATCTCCATGCTGATTGTACTTAGTAAGAGTTGATTGGCATATCTCAGTATCTCAAAGCTGATTGTACGTGGTAAGAGTTGATTGGCAAATCTTCTTTCTTCGCCCCGCGGTCTGTTTCTGATTACAAGTCATCATTCAAAACCCATTTCCAACAGGCGGTTCATCGTATCTAGTGACTCATTTGTTTCAGTGTCTCTGGAACACAGTGAATTCAATATGTCTGCCTTGTCCATGTCTGCCTCCTCCACTAATCACCACAGACATGGCCAGTCTGTCGCCTCTTTTATGTCTTGTCACCCCAGTGTAACATGGTGTGTACAGACAAAACAGTTTCTGGAGTCAAAACTTCTGGATGCTGTCAACCCACTCTAGTCAGAGTTTGCCAGCTTGGATCTTTTTTATAAACATGCTAAGTCTGTCACTATCAGTATGGTTTGAAATGCTTTCTGCTCCACCAGCAGTCATAATATAATGGGTTTAGCAAGTAGTTCTTGAAAGCCTGTCACATCTCTCTTGTAGATTTCTATGTCTTCCATCACTGTACTTACAAACAGAAGAAAAGGGATCTTGGAACAATCTAATCATTATTTTTTCAATCCCTGAGATCAGTGTGTAGCAAATGCCAGCTGCCTGACACAGAGATGTACCTGCCAGCTTGGCTTTTTTCCACGAGAGAAGGACTGTCATCCTCTGCTAAACCCTGGCACAGTGTGCACAGCGTCTGGCCAGTGCAAAAACCTGTAAGAACCACGTCTCTTGTACCTGCCTACCTTTATCATATTCATTCATTCTGGGAACAAACCTGTAATTTACACATGTAACTGATACCTACCTACCTTTATCATGTTCATTCTGGGACAATTAAATATTTAATGCTAAAATCAATTCAGTAGAAAAAAGAATGAAAGTTTATTGATATCTTTTAAAAAACTATCCCACAAAGACAACTTTTACCCTAATCAGAAGCAGACAATCCACATTTAGACCCATCATAAACAGAACAACTGGGGTACACTGTGACAGCAAGATAACTGGAGACAACAGAGGCAAGGGAAAAACTAGGAGTGAAGATGTTAGACAGTCTGCCACCATGGTACAAAGAAAAATTAATATAGATAGATATATCTAAATAGTGGTCGTTTGTGGGTAGAACTGCAGCTGATCTCAGACATGTGTGCATTGAATGTGCACAACAAGTTGAACAGACTGTTTAGATATTGTACGTATGCACATAAGAAACTGCAGTTGTACAGTGGCAGCCCACATGCCCACTGCTGGAAAAAACCTGGCAGTGCAGAAGCCTGTGGACAGAGTTAATAATACCCACCCCATGACATTAACTATAAAAAGAGCACCAAATCTGCCCCCCTGAATGCAGCAAAAGCTTGGAGAGCAACTGAAACAATTACTAACAAGCTACAAACATTTGTTGACTGTTGGCTGCGCTGAATAGCAGGAATCAAATAAAATGAATAGAATCACTGGTTGGGGGGGGGTGGGGGGTGGGGTGGGGGTGGGGTTGATGGAGAGAACTCAATAAATTCCAGCCAATCAAGAGCTGAGGAAAAGATGCTGGTGCTGGATATATCACACACTGAGACAACCTATCAATGGTATAGTTAGAATATCTTTTATGTGGGATCCACAGGGTAAAAGAGGTAAAAGGGAGACATAAAGACATGGAGAATAGAATTGGAGACAACAATAAATAACCAGTAGAGCTCATGCATAGAGGCTGCAGAATACCATATTATCAATAACATTCAATGTAATGATTCTTTTTTCTTCTATTCTTTCATTATCCCTGCACATAATATAATCTCCTTCAGCTAAAGGTCAGTAGTCATACCCTAGTTCATGAAAACAAACATGACAGAATCCTCTTATGGAACTGTATATTTCATAGTCTTTAGCTGGTGCCTAACACTGTAGGCTGTTTGCAATAAAAAATATTTTGTTTTGCTAAGAATTTTATCAAGTTTTTTTATATATATATATATATATATTTTTGACATGTTTGTTTCATTTTACAGTATACTAAAACAATGACTAAACATTTTCTGAAGGTTGAACAGGATATTTTTTTTTTTGAAAAATTGGCACTACTACATATTAGTTAGTTACAATGTCTGTTATAGTGAGGGATGGGGGAAAATGGCACTACTACTACATATTAGTTAGTTAAAATGTCTGTTATAGTCAGGGATGGGAAAAATTGGCACTACTACATATTAGTTAGTTACAATCTCTGTTATATCAGGGATGGGAAAAACTGGCGGTTGATGAAAGACAGGTAACATGAATTTAGATTTGCATACAACATTCATAATTGTCCAAGGGGTGCCATGACTGCAGTATTCTTACCTCCCCTTGTTTTGTCATCAGAAACAATCTTCAGCGAGTTTTTATTGCCAATGCTGCAGTGATTAATTACCTGTACAGTAACTTATAATCTCTTGAAAATTTCTGCAACAGTTCAGAGTGCTCAACTAGCACTGGGGGAACCTGTATGTGTGTGGATGGTTACTATAGAGATGGTCTTTTGTGCAAGCCAAAGGTCCTGGTAGAACAGCCGTGTAACGAGACCCTCCAGTGTGTGGACTTTGCCATTTGTCAGTCCAAGATTTCCACTGCAGTAACTATCACTGACCTCTATGTGTGTACGTGTGTGGAAGGATACTACCCCATGAATGGAAACTGCCACACGGTGCTCGATGCGGGTGTGCAGTGCCAGGAGACCAAACAGTGTACAGCCAATGCTGTTTGCAAGACTTTGGGTAAGAGATCTGACATGGTTACTTCACAATGACAACTCTGAAACTGTTCTACTGTTTCTACTTCTTTCACTTTCTTGTTTCTTCCATCTTTTTTCTCTTATGCTATTGCTTTTCTCTTTATTTTCTCTTCCTCTTTCTTCTTTACTTCTTTTTCTTCTTCTTCTTCTTCTTCTTCTTCTTCTTCTTCTTCTTCTTCTTCTTCTTCTTCTTCCTCCTCTTCTTCATTAGTAGCTTTTTCATCTGCATTTTAACACTTCTCCCTTGTGACTCTGTTCTTTATCAGTCAGGTTATAGTCACTTGCAGACTCCTCTTTTCACGCATCGACATCAACATGACTAGTAACAATGGACGACAGCGGATAACACAATGCGGTTTCACACTTTATTCTCCACTGGCTGTTTCCTCAGCCGATACATGAAATAGGACAGGTCTAGGAATTGATATCTAAGGTTGATACAAACTAATGTCAACATTACCTTCACTTCTGGAAACACACAACCGACCATTCCAAAATCACACTGTAGCACGCACAACTTTCTCCATGTCGGCAATAAACACAAATTAGCTGGCAGACGAATTCCCATCAATCCTTTGCTGCTTGGCCAGGTAAGGCATTTGAAACGACATTCAGATTCAGAAACATTCTGGATCCACAAACACTCCTCCGTTCTTCATGTTCTCAGTTTCTTGGCCCAAACGAGACTGCCCACATGCTCTTTCTAATGCATTATATAACCTTCCAACAACCACATTACAATTACGACTTTCTCGTGTTCTCCGATTCACACGGGTTTTCATTTTGTCCGTGATTCACGGCTCTGCCCTTGATACATTTAAATATCTCATTCATATTTATTAGCTGATGTCATTCTGTCTGGAACACAACTTATCAAGGAGAAAATAATTCACTACATCTCCCTTCTATTCCCCCACTGAAGCATAGCCTTAAGTCAAATCATGCCAATCAATACCATAGATTTTTTTTTTCTTTTTGGCCATCATGTGCATCTCCCTTCACATACTTTTCATATTGTGCAGTTTCACTTCAGATCCTTTTCCCCATGTGTTTTTACATCTTCCCTTACCTCTCTTTTGTTTGGAAGAGACCTCAGTCTGATTTCCAAGACGTTGTCTCCCCTAGAATGTTCTATAAGCCATCAAATCATTGCCCTTGTTTTATGTTGACTTCCACAGGTTTGGATCACCTTTGTGCATGCCTGGATGACTTTTACCAATCAGGAGGCAGATGCAAATCTTACATCCCTGCGGACCAGCCATGCAGATCATCAGATGTCTGTACCCATAATGCAACATGCATGCCCAATGATTTCTGCAGGTAGGTTGGTGGAGCTTCAGTACTGTAAGTAAGGAAGGATTCTTTTACCACACCTTTAGGCATATTGAACATACAGTGCTAGACGTATATTTTATACATCAATCAGCACTCTGTGAGTTATGGGTTTAACATCATGCCAGCTGCCTTTACTTCCCAGGACTTTACCTGGTACCCACTCAAGGCTGGGTTGACCTAAGAGCCAAGGTCATTTCTGAAAAAAGTCCAGCTTCATTAGGTTTTGAATCCGCAACTTTCAAATCCACAGGCAAGCATCTAGCCACAGCAGTGCCCGCTTCAGTGCTTAACTACATAAATGCAGAATCACCAGATAAAGATCAGGCTTAACTCATTTGGTACTAGCCTTTAATTTTAATTCTTTACATTCTGAGAAGTTATAGTTTAAAGTGCCTAATGTCTGAGACCAAATCAGTTAAAATGGTAACATTATGGGACAGAAGGAATAAAACTAATACTTAACATTAATGAGTTAATGTCACAACTATCCACAACTATCACAACTATCCACAACTATCACAACTATCCACAACTATCACAACTATCCACAACTATCACAACTTAATGAGCCCAAGATGCACACTACCTTTAAATAAACTAATGAACAAATGATGACTTGCATAGTGCCAAAAGAGTTAAGTAATTAGAGCCTCTGGTCATAAGTGAAAGTAAAGTAAAGTAAAGATCCCTTACCATGCCTTTAGGCGTATCGGGCATATGGGAAGAGCGCCCATATTTTTACAGACCATCAGCACTCACGCACGCACGCACACATGCACACACACACACACACACACACTGTAGACCTGTTTTCTTGCATGAATTAACTTGGGTACATGCATGCAGGTCTTTCTGTCCTAGAAATAAAAGTGATAGTCTCCAGTCAGCTGCTTTTTATGACATGTTTGTTAGGAAAGCAGTGCCACTATTCCCCTCCCCCTCCCCCCCCCCCCCCCCCCCATAATGAGACCCAGGAACCCCCTCAAGGTTTTTAGAAAAAACCACAAAACAACAAATAAATGCTGGAAATTGTTTGTGGTGTTCTGTAAATTATATTCAGTTACTTAATATGAATAAAAACCTGGTCAGTCACAAATTCTATTAGTTAAAATTTTTTTTTCATGATGGTCGAAAAGTTCAACTATTAATTAAGATTCTTTGGTTGTATTTAATGCCAGGTGTAATCCCACCTTCTACAACGAACAAGGCAAATGCCACATAGAGATCCCGGCAGGCCAGCAGTGTAACCGCACAGAGCAGTGCACCTCAAACTCCCAGTGCTTTATCAACGATGATTCTGGGGTGAGGGAATGCACATGTGATCAACAGTTCCACAATGATCTTGGGAAATGTCAGTCGGTGAGTTACATGTCTGTGGGTAAGTTACATGTCTGTGGGTAAGTTACATGTCTGTGGGTAAGTTACATGTCTGTGGGTAAATGACATATTTGTGGTTGAGTTCCATGCTTGTAGGTAAGTTACATGTTTGTGGGTAGGTTAAATGTTTCCAGGTTACATGTCTGTGGGTAAGTTACATGTCTGTAGTAAATGACATATTTGTGGTTGAGTTCCATGCTTGTAGGTAAGTTACATGTTTGTGGGTAGGTTAAATGTTTCCAGGTTACATGTTTATGGGTAAGTTACATGTCTGTAAGTAAATGACATATTTGTGGTTGAGTTCTATGCTTGTAGGTAAGTTACATGTTTGTGGGTAGGTTAAATGTTTGTAGGTTACTTATTTATGGGTAAGTTACATGTCTGTTGGTAAATTAAATGTTTGTGAGTAAGTTACATTATTGTTGTAAAATTACATGCTTGTAGGTAAGTTGCATGTTTGTGGGCAGGTTCCATTTTATTGGGGGGTAAATTACATGTTTTTGGGTAAGTGGCATGATTGCAGATAAGTTACATATTTGTGGGTAAATTACATGTTTGTGAGTAAGTAAAACTATTGTGGGTATATTATATGTTTGTGGTAAGCTACATTTGTGTTCAGGTTGTACATCTGCATTTAAATTACACATTGACAGTAAGTTACATGTTTTCATTTTCTTTATGGCTATCTGCAATTACATATCTTGATCTCATCTCTCTCTCTCTCTCTCTCTCTCTCTCTCTCTCTCTCTCTCTCTCTCTCTCTCTCTCTCTCTCTCTCTCTCTCTCTCTCTCTCTCTCTCTCTCTCTCTCTCTCTCTGTGTGTGTGTATCACTCTCTGTATGCATTTCTTTTTCTGCTCTTGCCTCAATCTGCTGCAGTCATTCCCTCACCCATTCTTTTCATTTCTCCATCTTTTATTTACCTATAACTCCAGCTCCAACTGCCTCAGTGTACATGTACTCGTTGTTACAGCAACGTTTGTACATGGAATCCCAGTAATACTCAGCAACAACAACACTCAATAGTAGTAATACTCAATAACTTACAGCATCTCGTTAAAAATAGCATTTAATAACAATAGCAGTCAATAACAGTAACAATCATCAACACATAACATTTCTATAACAGTAAGGCTCCGAAACAAGAATACTTAATAACACTTAAAATCTCTATCAAATTCACTTTCAATAAAAACAACACTCAATAATAGTAACATTCAGTAATAATAACACTCAACAGAATATACAAAAACAATAACACTCAATTACAGTAACACTCAATAGTAACAATAAAGTTCAATAACATATAACATCTGAAAAACACACATTTCGCAGCTTACATAATAAATATTGACATTGCCCAATATGACTTCCTCACCTCATCTCTACTATTTTGCATCACTTCAGTGAGTGCCAATCATTTCCCATGAATGTATTTTTCATGCCAGAATGTCGCAGTGGGCCTGGCCCGTGAAGGTGACAACCAATGTACCATCAATGCCGAGTGCTAATCATTTCCCATGAATGTATTTTTCGTGCCAGAATGTCCCAGTGGGCCTGGCCTGTCAAGTAGACAACCAATGTACCATCAATGCCGAGTGCTAATCATTTCCCATGAATGTATTTTTCATGCCAGAATGTCGCAGTGGGCCTGGCCTGTGAAAGTGACAACCAATGTACCCTCAATGCCGAGTGTCAATCAAACGGGTTTGCCCTGGTCTGCAGATGCAAGTCTGAATTCTATGAAAGGGGAGGGATGTGTGAGCAGAGGAAGAATGTTACAGCCCTATGTAATGCCCCTGGACAGTGCATCCTTGGGGCCCAGTGTGCACTGAAAAATGGAAGGTGATTATGACAAGACTTTGCTCACTGTTTACCCTGTAGCGAACTTTCCCCTATGACCATTTAAAGGCTAAGTTGTAATCATTATGAACTTTAACCTATCTAATCTGTCTAGAAGGATGTAATTAAAATATAAAAAATCAAATGTGTTGTAGAGTATTAACTCTTTGAGTCTCAGGGGGTTTTGCATCAGAGGTCCAAAAGGGGGGGGGGGATATGATTTTGACTTTTAACAAATGCAGCACTTTAAAACAAACCACACAACTGCAGCTGATGTCCAACATACACATATCATACATAAAGTTAAACATAAATGGATAAGGATTAATATTAGCATACTGCTACAACAAACAATTAAACTGTTAGTTAGTATTTAGTAAAGAAAACAGTGACTTTGAGAGGTAAGTAAATTATAAACAAGTTTTTTCCAGGTACCTAAAAGTTAATCCTAAATTCTTGATATCCAAAATGCATCACAAAGGAGGTACACCACTAATAAGTATGCACAGCTAATATTAAAGCAAAATGTGAAATAGTTGTTGTTCCATAGAAATTTTAACAACACTACCATAACAAGACAAAATATATTCTCCAGTGTTCTGTCACACCAACTGGACATGGAGGTTTGAACAGAAACCTTGATCGTGTTCTTCCCTCAGTAACACCTCTCCACTGACAACGACTATCTTTCTGGCGTGTTCTACTAGTAGTACTAGTACTAGAAGCGCTGACATTTGGACTAGCTAGTGTCACGTTACGGGGTGCTTCAGCACCACTATTCTCTTGTGTTGCCATGGCAGAATTAGTCAGTGTTGTCTTCTTAGCAGGAGGTAAATTACACACATGTTCCTCATCAGAACTTGACTCGTCAACGGTTTGGGGAAATTCCACATCGCTACTGTCATTATCCAACTCCACATTACTTTGATCGATCCACTGTTTTATCAAATTTGATGATTCTAAAGCAGAAAATCGCTTTGCTAGGCGTGAAGACGATGACTGATCGGACATATTGTTTTCAGACAATTGTTTGGTAATGTAGTAGACCACACAAATATAGATTTATAGCGTTAAAAACTCACCAGACCCAAACGAATGCACTCCACGTGTGTTCACTACACACTTGACAACCGGAAAGGAAGTTGAAATTGACAACTGGCAGGATTGATGGAAAGAGAGCAAGAGAAAAGCAAAGAGATAAATACCTGGAAAGCCTGTTGGATGCGGTGAGACAAAAACATTGAACTGATCCATGATTCTGGTGATCATGTGAGATGACAAAAGATTACAGGCTACGCTTACCATCATGCACATGATGATAGTGATGATTAGAGCTTTCACATATAGAAATAATTATATAGCAATGCTGAAAAATGTAATCTAGAGCACTCTAGTTCCAGACAGACATCTACATCTGCTGTGATCAGATACTAATGTTGAATATCTCTAATGCTTGTATGTACTTATGTGTTGATTTTCTTCTTCTTTATTGCCATATTTTTAAACACTTTTCTGTTTCATGTTTTCCAGAGCACAATGTGAATGTCTGCCCGGATTTTACCAGGAAGGGTTGGCTTGTAGTCCTCGAATCTTGCCGACTCAACCATGCACAAATCTAGGTCAGTGTGTCGCTAACGCTGAGTGCCAAAATGCTAGCGACTTAGCCACCAACTCCAGCAGGTGTCTCTGCAGTGATGGCTTCTACCAAGATGGAGACACATGTAGCAAGCTGAAAGAAGCTGGAGAACCATGTCAGCTCGCTGGCTCGTGCGTTGCTAACGCAGCTTGTGAAGCACAGCCCGGTGGAAACAGATGTACATGCGACCCAGAATACTATCAAGATGGCACCCGATGTGAGCCACGGATCAACGCAACTTTACCTTGTGTCCGAATTGATCAGTGTGTGATCAACGCTGACTGCACAAAAGATTTGGGCTCAAAGTTTTCATGCAAATGTTCAGAAGGTTACTACACATCTGAGCACTTAGAATGCCTGCTTTTGAAGAATACATCATCATCGTGTACCGCAACTGGTCAGTGCACCCTTGGAGCTGAGTGTCTAGGGGCTCCAGGGAATCAGTCCTGTCAGTGTCGTGGTGGTTTCTTTGAAGAAGGAGATTTGTGTCATCGACTCAAAAATGCCAGTGACGTCTGCCACAAACTTGGCCAGTGTATTCTACATGCCGAATGTTCAGGACTAACCCTGGGCACCAATGGAACTTGTGTCTGCGACCAGGAATTTTACCAAGATGGACATGAGTGCAAGGAGCGTATCAATGCCAGTTTGCCTTGCCAGGGAACGCATCAGTGTGTGTCAGGAGCAGAATGCCAGTCTGAGAGAGGAGCCAAGAAATGTGTTTGTGAAGATTCATTTTACATGGATGAGATGAAATGTAAACCCTTGTTAAATGCCAGTCTGCCTTGCCAGGCTGTGGGACAGTGTATCCATGGAGCTGAGTGTGCAGCCAATGAGACACATCCAACAGTCCTGTATTGCCAGTGTCAGCCAGGTTTTTATGAAGACAGCAACCATGAATGCCAACCTCTTATTAAAGGTAACCAGCCATGTGAGGCTGATTCTCAGTGTATTTCTGGAGCTTTGTGTCAGGAAACTTCACGTGGAGTCAAGAATTGTGTTTGTTTGCAGGACTTTTACTATCAGGATGAAGCTAACCTTTGTCAGCTGGTAATTAATGCCAGTTTGCCATGTACGAAACCTGGCCAGTGTATTTTTGGTGCAGAATGTGAGAAAAACCTGACCACACAAAATCTTACTTGCACATGCCAGGAAGGATTTTATGAAAACCCAGAAGACCAGTTGTGCCATGCTCTCAAGAACGCATCAAGTCTGTGTGGTTGGGACCAACAGTGTGTACACGGAGCAGTATGTGTGCAAGATAACACACGGACACGGCACTGCACATGTCTTGAAGAGTCTTACTATGAAGACAATAACATTTGTAAGAACAGAAAAAATGCAACATCACCTTGTATGAGCAACATTGAATGTCAGAAGGGGTCAGAGTGTGTAGATGTCGGTCCAGGGACAAATACTTCGAATCGTCAATGTCATTGTATGTCAGGATACTATCAAGACCAGCTGTCATGTTTCCCGTTGAGAAATACTTCAGAATCATGCACAGGAAAGGGTCAGTGTGTGCCAGGAGCTGAGTGCCAAGGGACACCACCTAACACTTCCTGCACATGCCTGCCAGATTTCTACAAAGATGGCCCACTCTGTCATCCCCTGAAAAATGCCACCCAGGCATGCCTCGATGACCTTGAGTGCATCAATGAGGCAGCATGCATTAAACAAGCATTCACACAGACCAGTGTCTGCATGTGTAGACGTGGATACTTTGAGCAAGATACTGTTTGCAAACATGTTCTAAATGCAACAATGCCCTGCTCAGAGGCAGGTCAGTGTATAGTTGGGGCTGAATGTATGACAAACAGCTCTTCCGTTTCATCGATGACCTGCCAGTGTTTGAACACTCATTTCCTCGACAAATTAGGCTGCCATGAACGTAAGAATGCCACCACTGAATGCTCAGCTCTGGGACAGTGTGTACCAGGTGCTGAATGTCAACTGATCACAAACCAGACTGCAGGCCAAACAGTGTCTCGGTGCACTTGCCAGGAAGGATATTTTCAGAAGCAGGATCAGTGTAATCCCATTCTAAATGCTACTGACCCTTGTGAGTTTGGCGACGTTTGTGCAACCGGTGCATCCTGCCTTGATGGACAAAAGCCTGTGTCCAGAGGGCAACAAGGCACTTGTCAATGTACAAAAGAATACTACAGAGCAGATAAATCATGTATGCCCTTGAAAAATGCCACAGAAGCTTGCATGTGGGACTATCAGTGTGTGGAAGGTGCTAAATGCTTGCGGCCTGAAGATGCGCAAACATGTATGTGTGTTGGGGAATATTTTCAGTATGATAATGTATGTAAGAAGTTTGTGAATGTCACAGACCCATGTGATGCTAAAGATATTTGTGTTGCCCACGCTTCTTGTACCCAGAATGTTTTTGGTGAATCAAGTTGTGACTGCAAACAAGACTTTTATGAAGAAAATAAACATTGCAAGCAACGAATTAATGCTGGTCTCCCTTGCATTAAAAATGGCACTTGTATGATTGGTGCCGAATGTGACGTAAGTAACATATGTTTATGTACATCCGGCTTTTATCAAAGTGGACCAAACTGTCATCCACTGATCAATGCATCACGTTCTTGTGATATTACAGAGCATTGTGTGGAACATGCTGTCTGCAAGGGGGCTCCAGTGCATACTTGTCAGTGTGAGACTGACTACTTTGAAACAAATGGGAAGTGTAAGAAGACCATTGATGCTGGAGATTTTTGCCCAGGAACTGGCACTTGCACTTCAAATGCAGAGTGTGACATGGCAGGCAACCAGACCTGTGTTTGCAACTCTGGCTTCTTCCTAGAGTCTGGCAACTGCCAGGAACTCGTCAGAGTAAACAGCTCCTGTTCTGGACCTGGCCAGTGTGTGGCCAATGCCAACTGTGACCCAAAGCTTCTTGTGTGCCTGTGTGATCCTGGCTTCTATCCTGAACAAGACCAGTGTCGAGAGTTTCAGAAAGTTCATGAACAATGTGACGCTGACAAGCAATGTGTCAGCAATGCCGTATGCACAGGAAAGACTAGTAAAGTGTGTGAGTGTCCTCCAGATTTCTACACATTGTTTAATTCTTCCTGTGACCCAAGGATCCCTGTCACTGAAGCCTGTAATTCAACTAATCAGTGTGTCCCCAATGCCGTATGTGATGCTAACAATGGCAGCATTTGTAGGTGTGTGCCAGGTTTCTACCAGAAGGATGGTCAGTGTCTTCTGCAAATTGAAGCTGAAAAACCTTGTCAAGTAGGCCAGGTTGGACAGTGCGTACCACACGCAAACTGTGATTATAATACAAACTTATGCAAGTGTGATCCAGGATATTACAACCAAACAGGAAGTTGTGAGGAGCTTGTAAAACACAATGGTAGTTGCCAAGAGACACGACAGTGTGTGACACATGCTGTATGTTCAAAGATGACAGATGTTTGTCAGTGCAGCACTGAATATTTTCATGATGAGCAAGGAAAGTGTTTGCTGCGAATTCCTTCCAACACAGATTGCAATCAGACCAATCAGTGTGTGCATAACTCCACTTGTTCACCTTTGACCCATCTCTGCACATGTGACCTTGATTTCTATGCCACAGACAGTGGAAAGTGTGAGTCTTTGATCAGTGCAGGTCAAGCCTGTAATGAGAGCAGACAGTGCACACCTCATTCCAACTGTTCTGTCACGACAAGTCAGTGTACCTGTCAACCAGAATTCTACAGCAACAGTGGCAGATGTGACAAACTTCTTCGTGTCAGTGACAAGTGTAACAGCAGTGTGCAGTGCACCGACAATGCTTCCTGCTCCTCAGCAACTTCCCAGTGTGAATGTCTCCCAGGTTTCTACAGAGATGAGCAGAATCTATGTGTGCAGCTGGTCAAAGCTGGACAAGTCTGTCAAGAGACAACAAAGTGCACATACCATGCCAACTGTTCAACAGCAACTAACACATGCCAGTGCAATGATGAATATTACAACAATTCAAAGTCCACCTGTGAGGAGAGGAAGCCTGTTAGACATTCTTGCAACCAAACCCAGCAGTGTACATTAAATTCTGAATGTACATCCAGTTTGACAGGCCAGTTTGCATGTACATGCCAGATAGATTTCTATGAACTGAATGGCAAATGTCTGAGCCGGCTGCCTGTCTCACAATCATGTAATCAGACAGAACAGTGTACCCACAATGCCTACTGTAATGCCAGCACAGCAGCATGTCAGTGTTTGACCCAGTTTTACACAGACTCAAGAAATATGTGCATCGACCGAGTTCCCTCAGGAGCAGCGTGCAACACAAGCAGTCAGTGTGTACAGCATGCAAATTGTGAAGGTCAGCCCTTGTTGTGTACATGTGTACATGGATATTTCGAGGCTTCTGGGTCTTGTCAAGAAGTGTTTCAGGTGGGCCTGCACTGCAACTCCAGCAGTCAGTGTGGGGATCACTCTCACTGTACAACCAACAGCACTGAAGCTAGTATCTGCCTGTGTGATGGCGATTACTATCAACATCTTGGGAACTGCTGGAAGAAAGAGACTGTTGGTAACAGGTGTGTAGACAGCATACAGTGTACCCATAATGCCACATGTTCTCTAATGTCTCAAGTTTGTGAATGTGTTGATGGTTTCTATAATGACAGTGGAGTCTGTCGCCCCATGGCAACAACTGGAGAAAGTTGCCAGCATGACTTCCAGTGCGTCAACAACTCTTTTTGCACAGACAACAATACTTGTGACTGCCTGCCAGATTTCTACAACTCTAGTGGGTCATGTCTAAAGAGAGTTGCCCCTGACAAACCTAGATGCCAGAGTTCTCATCAGTGTGTCCATCATGCTGAATGCAACACCGCATCTGGCCTCTGCTATTGTTTACCCAGCTTCTTTGACTCCGATGGCTTTTGTGTGCCTCGAACAGTTGTAGACCAAGCATGTGACAACACTAGAGAATGTACCCATGATGCTGAATGCAACACACTAGGAGTTTGTGAGTGTCTCCACAACTTCTATAATGATTCAGGTCACTGCATAAAGAGAATCAAAACAGAAGAGAAGTGCAACAGAACACATGAGTGCACGCGGTTCAGCACCTGCAACAGTACACTTGGAGTATGTCAATGTGAAGCTGATTACTATACGTCCAATCAGGAATGTCTTCCCCGTAAACCAACAGAAACCACCTGCACATCTTCAGATCAGTGTACGTTGTTTGCATCATGCCAACCACAAGGGCTACAGCCACCAGGGCTATGTCAGTGCTACTCTGATTATTACAACCAATCAGGTGCATGTAAACCACGAGCATCTGTCAATCAAACGTGTAGCTCCACCCATGAGTGCACACAATTTTCATCTTGCACCACTGAAGGGGTTTGTGAATGTAATCCTGACTTCTACGTTGTGTCTGGCCATTGTGAGAAACGTGTGCCGCCCACTCAAACCTGCAACTCAACACACCAATGTGTAGCCAATGCTGAGTGTAATCCCATGTCGCAGATGTGCATGTGTGTTTATGAATTTTATACTGAGAATGATATGTGCAAGCCACGTAAGAAAGTTGAACAGTCGTGTGAGGATACTAATATGTGCACACATAATTCTAGTTGTGTCACGGGAGTGTGTAGATGTGACGTGACATTCTATAACTCTTCAGGAGAGTGCTTGCCACGAGTCCACATAGATGAACCATGTAATCAAACACACCAGTGTACACATAACTCAATGTGTGACCCTACGTCTAATTTCTGCGCTTGCCAGGAATCATATTTTAATGAAAGTGGAATCTGTAAGCGTCGCCTCCTGGCAGACAAGCCTTGCCAGGACAGCCACGAATGTACCCATCATGCCATTTGCTCACCTTTGACCCAGAAGTGTGAGTGTGAGCCCGATTTTTACAATGAAACTGGTCTCTGTTTACAGAGAATCAAGGTGAAAGACTCTTGTCTACGCACCCACCAGTGTACACAGTTTTCATTTTGCGATAAATTTACAGACACGTGTCTCTGTGACCCTGATTATTTTAGCCAATCAGGCCATTGCATTGCCAGGAAGGGACATGGGGAACATTGTAACTCAACTGTCCAGTGCACACATGACGCCAGTTGTGATCGCATGGACAAAACCTGTCAGTGTCATCCTCTTTTCTATAGTTTGTCTGGAATTTGTCACAAGAGGATACCCAGTGGAGAAATATGTAACAGTTCACAACAATGCACTCATAACGCCAGCTGTGACCTAAATTCCCAAATTTGTGAATGCCTACAGGAATTCTTCCAAGAAAATGGGCAGTGTTTTCTTCGTAAGGATGTAGAGGAGGGATGCAGTGCAACTTATCAGTGCATACATAATGCCAGTTGTTCCAAGTATGATGATGTTTGCCGGTGTTTGCCAGATTTTTACAGCAAGTCAGGCCAGTGTGTACAGAGAACTAAGGCAGGAGAGCCATGTCGGAGCTCATCTGAATGCACCAATCATGCAGTTTGTAATTCTGACAATAATACATGCCAATGTGACCATGGGTATTACAACCAATCAGGAAGCTGTGATAAGCAATTTCCCGTTAATCAACTTTGCCAGGATTCACATCAATGTACGGTCAATGCTGTATGTGATCCTTTAACTGGCACTTGCAAGTGCCTGGACTCTTTCTACAACACTTCAGCAGGAGATTGTGGCAACAGGATCAAGGTCAATGGCAGATGTGAACAAACACATCAGTGTACCCATAATTCCATATGTGATCCCTACGTTGGCCGATGTCTGTGTTTAGGAACATTTTACAACTCAACAAATGGGCTTTGCTTTGATAGAATCAGAACAGAGGGGGAGTGCAACACAACACAACAATGTACACAATTTGCTTCTTGTGACTCCGGCACACAGACATGCTCTTGCCAACCACAGTACTACAACCAATCAGGCCTCTGCTACAAAAGAGTACCAGTCAGTGATAAAACAACTAATGATTTTTGTGAATATACATATCAGTGTACCCCTCATGCAGTGTGTAACCCAATATCCAGACAATGTGAATGTGAGCCAGATTTTTACAATGAAACAGGAAAATGTCAACCCCGAGTTCCTGCAGGTCAGACATGTTTGCAAACATATCAGTGTACCCATAAATCCGAATGTGACCCTGTAGTCAAGCAATGTCAGTGCTTATCTGGCTACTATGACCATGTAAATGGCAATTGCCAGGAGCAGATTTCTGCAGGAAACGTCTGTAACAGCAGCCACCAGTGTACGGGCAATGCTCACTGTGTGGAACCCCTGTCACGAGCCAGCACAATATCTGACAACAGCGCTGTCAGTGTCAACAAAACCTGTCAATGTCAGCAGTTATTCTACCAGAGTGGAGCTCAGTGTGAAGCTTGTAAGTTTTTTCTTTTCTGTAATGTTTTGCTGTTTTTTATCATCTTTTATGTGTCCAACACTTTGAGATGACACTATTTCAGCCTTTTTTCCCTCTCTCCTTTTTCCTTTGCATTTGTATTATACTTTCTCTGGTTATTTTTTTTTCTTGTCATCTTCCCCCTCCTTCACCTCCTTATTCCTCTTCAGTCAAGTCTTCCACAATCCGTCACAGCTGACACAACATGGATATTATATAATGTGCATATGAAACAAGTCTTCCACAATCCATCACAGCTGACACATACATGGATATTATATAATGTGCATATGAAAACAAGTCTTCCACAATCCATCACAGTTGACACATACATGGATATTATATAATGTGCATATGAAACAAGTCTTCCACAATCCATCACAGTTGACACATACATGGATATTATATAATGTGCATATGAAACAAGTCTTCCACAATCCATCACAGTTGACACAAACATGGATATTATATAATGTGCATATGAAACAAGTCTTCCACAATCCATCACAGCTCATACATGGATATTATATAATGTGCATATGAAAACAAGTCTTTCACAATCCATCATAGTTGACACATACATGGATATTATATAATGTGCATATGAAACAAGTCTTCCACAATCCATTGACACATACAATCATATGAAACAAGTCTTCCACACATCACAGCTGACACATACATGGATATTATATAATGTGCATATGAAACAAGTCTTCCACAATCCATCACAGTTGACACAAACATGGATATTATATAATGTGCATATGAAACAAGTCTTCCACAATCCATCACAGTTGACACATACATGGATATTATATAATGTGCATATGAAACAAGTCTTCCACAATCCATCACAGTTGACACATACATGGATATTATATAATGTGCATATGAAACAAGTCTTCCACAATCCATCACAGCTGACACATACATGGATATTATATAATGTGCATATGAAACAAGTCTTCCACAATCCATCACAGCTGACACATACATGGATATTATATAATGTGCATATGAAACAAGTCTTCCACAATCCATCACAGCTGACACATACATGGATATTATATAATGTGCATATGAAAACAAACTGATCCGTGTGAAGATCCTCTTCCTTTCTTTCTTTGTGTTTTCATACACAAAATATTCACACAAATAACTCAGTCATACGACCCATATGTGACCCAAATCTCTCTGTTAGTTGGAGAAGGAACGAGATTTTGCTGATGTAAATTTTGGAAAGGGAAAACATTCTTGACTTAAGTAATCAGTGAAAGAGTTTTGTTTTGTGTTTTTTGTTAAATAATTCAGAAATTAATAAAACATTGCTATTGACAATAACTAGAAAAAGTATAATAAAGAAATCAGACATTGCTACTGGTAGGGAAGAAATCAGACATGACTACTGATAGGGAAGAAATCAGATTTTGCCTGTGACAGGTCACAGACTATCAGTTGGATACAGACAATGCTACAGTGAAGTGCTCTGATTACTTCACCTCATCAAGCAGTAACCAAGCTCTTGTAAACTTGAAGACTTTAACACAGTATGGCACTTTTGCTTCCCCCCACCCCCTTTCCCCCACACACACACAAATTATTTGCATCATTCTGATACAAAAATCAGTCTGAATCAATGAAATGGCAGAGCCAGTTAAACAGAGCGATTGACAAACTGTTCTTTTTGTTTTTGTTGGCTGGATATTATTTGTATCTCTTGTTCACTTGACCATGGTGGGTTTGTTTTGTTTTTAAGGCCATTGTTTTCATTTTTATAGGATTAGGTAGCTAACGTCAAGCTCAGTACTATCCTTGGTTATCTCCTCTGGCATACCTGGTAGAGTTTAGTGTTACTATCCCTTGTCCCATTTTTTCCGTTTCTTAAATAGTCACCTTTTTACAAGATGCTTTTGTGAGGGTAGCGGATATGTTCTCCTCTCCCACCACCTCCCATAAATGGAACCCAGGAGACCCACATGTGTGCTATAAATCCTTCTTTATGATGATATTATTATATTTAATTTTTGAAAACTATAAAGGATATTTTGAGTTTAAGTAGCATCACCCTCCAAGATGCAGCAAAGTTAATGGGAGAAACCTCAAGCAAGTTGATCTGTTTAGTAGTTGGATACCCTGATAACATCAGATGAAAAATGTATTAAAGGCGTTCAATGAAGAATAGCTCAAACAAAGTAGCATTTTGTACAATGATAATTAATCTTTCCTTGTCAACTGAGGTGTGAAAGAGAACACTCGGGAGTCTATTAATCCTATCCTGATATATAAAGGGAAACAGGGACTGATGGGTGATTAGTGAAAACTGATTTAGAAGCAGCAGAAATGTGATTTTTATAGATGAATTATGAGAATACCCTGGACAAGTTTAAAAAAAAAGTAATGAAGACGTCTTGAAAGAAACTGACTTACAAAGAGAGCTGATCACCCACATCAGAAAGAGTCAATCTAGATTCTTTGGTCATGTGATGAGAATGACAAAAATGGAGTACATCATGACAGTGGGAAAGCTGGAGTGGGAAAGAGGCAGAAGTAAACTGAGAAAGTTGACAGTTTGATATCATGGCATGGAAGACAAAAAATCTCTGTCGGAATGGATTGACAGTACATATGACAGAAGGTTCTGAACAACATGGATACCAATGCCACACAGCATGGACTATAAGAAGAAGAATTGGTAACCGCATGAAACTGGAAGAAATATAAACCTACTCTGATAAGGATTTGAACCTACTTAACATGCATTCAATATTTATTTGTTTAGCCAAGCCACCTGGCACGCCATGTACAGGTTTCGGACAGTGTGTACCATTTGCTGAATGTCAGACTCGCTGGGGTGGTCTGTGTGAGTGTGCAGGCACCCACTTCCCACACCTCAAGACATGTGTGCCGAAACTAGTGCCTGCAGAAGCTTGCACACATGACCAACAGTGTGTGAGCAATAGTACCTGTCATCAAGGTAAGTGCGTGTGTGAGATACGTGGTATCAGTGTGTGGGAAATATGTATCATCTATGTGAAAGATGACCACACACCTGTATGTGGAAATACCATATATAAGGGGAAGTCAATAAGTAAGTCACAAATGGTTATGGGATGGCCGGAAAATGTAGTTGGTGGTTTCTAAAGGTGTTATGAGATGACTGCAACATCCAACTTTATGTCTCCATGTGTTAAGTAGTGCAAAGTGTTGCATGCATACTCGCAACACAGAAACAAAAAGGCGACTGTACTCTTGAAGTGTACCCTCAAAGAAAAATGTGCTGTTGTGTATTTCTTTTTCGTAAAGTGGGGGAGGGGGGGAGGGGGGGGGGGGGTTACCTGCAAAGGACATTTATAAGGAAATGCTTCCTGCTTATGCTAACAATCATTTATCCCTTAAAGCGGTGCATAGTAGGGTTAAAAAAAAAAAATCTCAAGGATGCTCTAAAATATTTTGTTGGAGTCTGATATGGTTGTCCTGTTGAGATTGCAACAGATACATCTGTGCAGTAGGTGGAGGTGATGATTAGAGGTGACAGACGAGTACCGGTTGACTCTGTAGCAGCTGCACTAGGGTGCTCGCATGGTTCAGCATCAGCATACACCTCAACCCCTAGCAATTTCCACCTTTTGGTCCACTGAAAACCCACCTTGGCAGAATACATTTCATGAATGATGCAGAAGTTGAATGTGAAGTAAAAATATGGTTTAGAAAACAGAGCACGCAGTTCTATGCAGCAGGTTTGGGAGGACTGATAAAATGATGGGACAATTGCATCAATGTAGGTGGAAATTATGTTGAAAAATAAAGGAACAGTTTTCAAGTTGTTATCAATTTAGTTCTTTTTAAACAACAATTTATGACTTATTGACTTCCCCTTGTATCATCAAAGTGAGAGAAATGCCTCTTTGCTATGTTGTCATAGTTAGGGTTCCCCCCTACTTTTCCATATTTCTTCGTTATTTTTTTTTTCCTGATACAATTTATTTTCATTTTCTACTCTCCTATGTTCAGTATTTTCCCAATGGTTAACAATATATGGATTCCAAAGAGACTTAGTTTGAAAACAAACTCACATTATACAAGAGCAACATTTTAGCAATTCTATTATACAGTAGTGAGTATAGGAAAATGACAGCAGTGCAAAAAAATAGAGACTTTTCAAAATAAAAGGATAACTCTGTAAATATTTTGATGAAACAAAATCTCAGATGAAGAAGAGAAGTAGAAAACAGCAAGTTCATCAGTGACAAACATTATCAAAGGAAAAAGGTGGAGATGGCTTGGACATGTTTGCAAAGTGCCTTGTGATACTTTCAAGGACAGCCCTCAGATCAACAGCAGCTGGAGAAGGAGACATCGATCACTTAAGTAAACATGAAGAAAGGCGGTAGAAGATAAGGAAATAAAGGAATGTTAAATGACATGGGATACCAAGGCATAGAAGCAGCAAACAAACAGCAAGGGAGATCACTTGTAAATGCATAATGTATCAACAGTAACGTGAATAGGATATAGATATTCATGCTCTGTATTCTCACAGTCTTTAGCTCTTTGCAACAAAGTTTCATAATTTGTTTTCCAATGTTCTGTGTTTTTCTGCTTGGTTCTCCTACACCTTCACACTACCTTTATCTCCAAGTGTCTTTTCTTTGCATGTTTTTTTTTTTTTTAATTTTAAAAAAAAAAAACTTTTGATATTGTGTTCTACGTAGTTATCCTCTTTACACAGATGATCTTTATATTTTTTTTTTTAAATTCTAGCTGTATTTCACACATGGGTATTTACATTTTGTTTTACCTGTAATTCTTCCAGGTGTGTGTCGATGTAAATCTGGATTCTTTGAGACCAAAACCCAATGTGAGACAAGAATTCCAACAGGCAACAAATGCTCAGCACCTGGCCAGTGTGTGGATTTTGCAGAATGCAATTCAACTGCTCTTATATGCCAGTGTGGAGTGAACTACTTTGATGCAGGAGGATCATGCTCAAAAAAGATGCCTCCAGGTGGCGCATGCAGTGATTTGGAACAGTGTGCCATTAACTCCAGGTGTAATTTAACCAGCTCCATGTGCGATTGTCAGCCAGAGTTCTACAACAATAACGGCATTTGCGTTACAAGAATCAGAGCCGGCAAGTATTGTGCTGACTACGGCCAGTGTGTGGCTCATGCTGAGTGCGACCCCTCTACAAACATCTGCACATGTGATCTCCCTTACTACAAAGACATCAATGAATGTAAACCCAGAATCAAACCAGGTGATAAGTGCAGCAAAATAGGTCATTGTGTCACACATTCAGAGTGTGACCTGGTCAAGAAAGAGTGTGTCTGTGACGAATATCATTATAACAACAGTGGTGTGTGTAATGACAAACTCCGGCCAGGGTCTGCTTGTGCAGCTATGGGTCAATGTGTCCAGCTAGCAGAGTGTAACTTGACCAGCGGTCAGTGTCAGTGTCGGTCTGGATACTTCAACCAGAATGGTGAATGCCAGGATTTGATAGACCATGGCAGCAATTGTGACATAGATCACCAGTGTACATTTAATTCAACATGCCAGTTTGTCTCTAAATATGTTAAACAGTGCCAGTGTCTGCCAGATTTTTACCCAAGCAATGGCAAATGTGAAAAAAGAATTGATGGTGGCCATATTTGTCAAGACATTGGCTCATGTGTTGCCAATGCTGAGTGCTCCCCTGTAACTGGCCTCTGTCAGTGTAACCCCAACTACTATCTCAACACTTCAGGTCATGGTGTTTGTGAAAAGCTAATCCCAGCTGACCAGCCTTGTCAAGAGGAAGGAACTTGCACTAAAGATGCCACCTGTTCATCAAATCATACATGTGTCTGCCTTGATGCATTCTTCAATTTTGAGGGCCAGTGCAAGCCTTTAACTCCGCCACAGCATCCTTGTGATGCTCTCATTGATAAATGTGTCCCTAATTCAGACTGCGTTATACGAGTTCCAAAAAGAAACGTATCCTTTACAGAACAAGACATCCCTATTTACCCCAAAATGACTGCTCATGCTCCAAGTGTATGCCTGTGTGTGCCTGAATATTTTCCTTTCAACAACTCCTGCATTGAAAAGAAGAAAACTGGTGAAAAATGTTGGAGTGTGGACATGTGCGTGTATGGGTCCTTCTGCTCAGAGCTGCATGACCAGACTTGCCAGTGCAAGCCAGATTTTTATCAAGATCCACAAAATATGTGTAGAAATCGTGTTCCTGCTGGTAAGAATTGTTCAGCTCAAGGTCAGTGCGTTGCCTTTGCAGAATGTGACCTTGACCATACTACTTGCATTTGCTCGACAAATTACTTCCAAGATGCTGATGGCGTGTGTCAGGACAGGGTCAAGGCTGGGAATACATGCACAAACATTGGTCAGTGCATCCATAAGGCCACTTGTGATGCAAAAACGTTCACCTGCATGTGTGAACCACAGTACTACAGCGACCTTGGGCAGTGCCTAGACAGAAAAAAAGCTGGCAGAGAGTGCAGCCAGAAAGGTCAGTGTGTGCAGAATGCTGAATGTGATGTCCAAACTGGCTTCTGTCAATGTCAAGTCGGATACTACAGTGAAGCTGGGACCTGTGTGCCTTTAAAGCCAACTGGGGATACTTGCAGTTCATCCACCCAATGTTCTTTCAACTCCACGTGCTTCAAGCCAGGGATGATTTCTCAGGGTATCTGTCAGTGTGATGCCGAGTTCTACGCCAGTCTTGGAGGGTGTCACACCAGGTTAGGGCCAGGTGAAAGGTGTCTAGCTTTAGATCAGTGTGTGTCCCATGCTGAGTGCAATCTGGCAAAGTCTGTCTGTGAGTGTCTGGAGGGATTCTACAGCCCAGTTGAACCAGGTGAGTGTATCAGTAGTTTTTTTTTCTTGTTCACAGTGAAGATGAGATCTTTAAAAAAACATCATGGGTGAAGAGGAAAACAAATTCTGGGATTTTGATAGCTGTATCAATATTCTGTTAGGCTGTTATACATCACATCAAGCGTGCAGTCTAGATGATGTCAAGCTTACAGTCTAGATGATGTCAAGCTTACAGTCTACATTATGTCAAGCTTACAGTCTAGATGATGTCAAGCTTACAGTCTAGTCTTGCTTTCCATTTTAACTGATAACTGTAGGTAGCACTAAAACACTCATAAAAAGCATGAGGACAAATCAAATGAAAAATTTGAGACTTCAAAATCAGAACCATAACAATCAAAGATTATCAAGTTTGAAGATGGAAATTTCAAATATAGTTCCTTTACCACATGTACTCTGCTCAGACATCACAGCTAAAATGATTAATTCCTTTACCACATGTACTCTGCTCAGACATCACAGCTAAAATGATTAATTCCTTTACCACATATACTCTGCTCAGACATCACAGCTAAAATTATTAATTCCTTTACCACATATACTCTGCTCAGACATCACAGCTAAAATTATTAATTCCTTAGACGAATACGGAATAGACCAGGTTACTTCTGCAAGGGGTGGGGGGAGCATTTTAGAAAATAACTAGGTCATGATACATGACAGGATAGTGACAGGATACATGACAGGATAGTGACAGGATACATGACAGGATAGTGACAGGATACATGACAGGATAGTGACAGGATACATGACAGGATATGTGACAGGTTAGGTTAGTGTTAGGTCAAGGTGTCTTCCACAAGTTGTTGGTATTTTACTGCTACAATACCCTAACACAAGCTTAGAGGGAAATTGGATGAGCATAGAATAAATGAGTTGTTAGCGTTAAACATTCAACTTTTCATGTCTTTTCAAACACAAGGGTGTTATAGTATAAGATGTTTAACCAGTTTACAACTTTTCTCTGGCCAGTATCACTGCATCTGTGTTATTATCCCACTGACTGGTTTTTACACATGGCACTCAGGAGAAGGATGAGACGGATATACAGTCAGACAGTTACTGGTGCCATCGGGATTGGAACTCTTCGCTTGCTGCTGATGAGGAAGACGGAGCACTTATGGGAGTGTCCTGAGTGCTGTGATGTCGATTCTTAATTCAACATTCAACATTCTACACATGGCAGGGTTGAATGTGTTCAGATTAGTGTGGCCTTATAGCGTGTGTTTTACCAGGGTCATTATAAAAAGCAGGAAATATGACACTGCACTCTACCAAGCATATCATCAGAGTAGAGTAGGCTTGACTTTGGGGTCAGCTACATGATCTCATTACAAATTTATCAAACTCTTTCACATTCATGCTAATGTCCCCAATTTTGAACAAACATGTAACAATTGACACCAGAAGTGCGTTATTTAATACATATTTTTACTAACATTGTGTTACCGGTGCCAAACATGGATATTAACAACAACAGAAAAATGGAAACTAGAGAAATGTATTGTCTATGGAAATCCTAAATATAAGGACAAGAGGCAGGATCAGAAATGATATCAGAAAAGAATTTGAGATGGAACCAGTGTTAAATTATGACAAAAAATGACAGATTAAATGGTTCGGACATGTGCCAAGTCTACTAGCAGACAGTGTACCACACACAGCCCTGTCACTTAGACACAGTGGAAGCAGAGCCAGAGGTCGACCAAGCAAGTAATGGATAGATGGAATAGCCAAGGCTGTAATACTAGCATCTATGTCGCGGCTCTCTAGCGTAGTTGGCTAAACCGGATTGCATGGAGACCAGGTGATGAACTCCTTGTGGTCCGGGTTCAATCCCTGGGGTAGGCAGGAAAGCCACATTTTCTCCCAGATTTACGGTATTTACAATGGAATCAAGGCCGAAAGGTTGCGATATCCATAATACCGAGCCTAAGGGCTAACAACTCATGGCTTCTGGATATTAAAACAAACCAGCATCTATGTGGCTCATACCAAGATTGTGTCCCAGTGTCTCTTCAAAATTTGATGCTGCAAAGCAGAACAGGACTAGAGAAATGGAGGACAATCTGCAGTTTGTGTTGTGTCTTGTTTATGGGACAAGGATATGATGATTTGGGTCCATAGTAGCTGATCACCACAACCTAAAATTTATACTAGGAAATGTTTTGGAAAGTATAAGCAGCCAACATGATGTTGATAACATCACATGTCACATGAAGATTGGTCTATACAATTACAAGTTTAGCTTCATACACCCATATACTTCAAAACATGGAAAGTGTGCATATCCAGACAGTATATCCACGTGATTCCCTGCAATGTTGGTGTACTGATGCTTGGTATCCACTCATGCCACATTAGTCCATTTTAAACCTTCCTCAGTGCCCACCGAGAATCAGACACAATAATTTCTCTTTAAAGTGTACTTAAAATTACAAACTCGTCTTATCAAGCCAAAGTGACATGGACAAATCAGTGTGTGTACATTAGTCAGAATATTCACACTAACCTTTTGTAATCTACCACTAATTTTTGACTGCTTGACTGTCTCCACATCAAATAGAAAATGGAACTGTCTGCCTCCCACTGATAGAAGCTGGCGGTGTCTGTACACGGAATGGAACCTGCACCACTCATGCTGTTTGTCAAGGTTAACGCTACTTCCGATAATTTTACTTTCTATTAATATTTTGTTTTGCGTGTTTTAATTTTTTTTTTTTTTTAAATAGAAATTCAACCTTTCTTGGTTTTAATTTGGTTATATACCATATTTCCCCACGTATGAGATCATCCCCTATATAAGTCTCACTGTGATTTTGGGACCAGAAATTTGAAGACAAAATCATATGATTACATAAAGATCTATTATTCTAAAAGAAGTACACTGTTTTTGACCCATTATTAGGAAAAAAGTGTCTTGTACTTGGGGAAATGTGATAGTGCCATACAAAATTTATGAGGAAAGACAATGATGATGTACCATTATGTTGTGGACTATAATGTGTGAAAGCCTAATACATCACAACCCAATCATTACCCGAAGGACTATGATATGTCCAGCTGTAGTATCTGCTGCTGGACCTAACAACTGCCATCACTGACTCTAAATCCTACTTTTGCCGTATGGTCTTTGAACCTGAGGATTTAGGGTCATATGGCTAGTATTGTTGCCATCGACCATTCAGGTATTGGAAAACATTGTGATAACTGGAAAAATCAACAGTAAATGAGGCAGGTACAGGCAGAGACAAACAGACTGACCGACCGACCGACCGACTGACAGGCAGACAGGCAGGCAGATTAGTCTAAGTGGGCTAAGAAGCGGACATGGAGGAAATCATCAGCACAGTTTTTTTTTTAACAAAACAGCAAGAACTGGGTCTGTGGAGAGACAAACGTACTTACATTGTTCGCAAACATGACAAGATTATGATGATGATGATATTAATGATATATGTTTTATGAATGTTTGTTCTTTTATTCTTGAATCTAGTTTTCAGTGCAGCATATGTTACCTGCCCCCGAGAAGACTAAATCTAGCCACTTGCGGTTGTGCCAAAGTCCTGTAAAAGTCAATATATATGTGCATGTCAGCAGTGACCTGTTCTCAGAAAAGCACAGTGAATTCTTTGGTACTCAATGCACCTGTGCAGTGCTAAATTGTCCAGGATATGAATATAGTAGCTAAAGATAGCATTTAGGGATGCTTTTTTATAACCTCCATGGCCCCCGAGAAGACTAAATCTAGCCACTTGCGGTTGTGCCAAAGTCCTGTAAAAGCCAATATATATGGGCATGTCAGCAGTGACCTGTTCTCAGAAAAGCACAGTGAATTATTTGGTACTTAGTGCACCTGTCCAGTGCTAAATTGTCCAGGATATGAATATAGTAGCTAAAGATAGCATTTAGGGGTGCTTTTTTATAACCTCCATGGCTTTTTAAAAGCCAAGCTGATATCAGCTTTTGTCTGTTAACCTCATTGATAGAGGTCATGGGGTCATGGTATAGGTCACCCACCATATACTATGGGATGTATTCTATTAAAAGTTTTATCCTGTTTAAATTATGGATACTTCTTTATTGATTTTTATATACTTGGGGAAAAAAAGTAAAATGTATGCTAATAGAATATGTTCAACTCATATTCTTGAACAGAAAGAGCATTTAAAACTGCTGATTCAGCAGTTTGAGTGCCCTGTGATAAAATAAAAACATGAACGCATCACGCGCTTTTTGGGCTACTAAGTAGGTACCATTGAAGGTATGATGAATGTCCTGGGATTGAGAGAGTCTCGAGCTGCACAAGTTAACAATAGATAGAAAGTCTTGGCCTAGGACCTAGGCTTCAAGGGGGAGACAAACGTAGAAAAAATAAAACAAGATCATCATGTGGGTTATGTCCCTTACAGGTGGCCATTGTGTCTGTGTGGGAGAGCACTTTCCTCGTGATGGTCAGTGCAAGAGCTTCATAAAACCAGGTGTGGTTTGTGACCCAGATCTGGACGTTTGTGTGGCCTTCAGTCAGTGTCACTCACTTGAGGCTAACTCTGGAGACACAACTTGCACGTAAGTACACATGTCTGTGTGTGTGTGTGTGTGTGTGTGTATGTTATGTCATCTGTACATAAAGCTGTGTCCATCTCTAGTGTTGTATGTTGCTTGTACATAAAGTCATGTCCGCTCTAGAGTTGTACATTGAAATTTTTTTATAACATACACCAAGTAGTGACCCTTTAGTGTCTGATGAATGACTGGGTACCTTTCACGATAAGGGGCCCACAGTGAGAGTGACTTCCCTTCCCAATGATGCCTCGATCTGGTGTAGCACTTGCACTATGTTGCTAAACGTGATTAGAACCACTGATTGTTATCACTGACCCTTCTGAAAACAATGGCAAACTACTGAACGTAAAATTGCCTAAAATCACAGTCAAAAATCGCTGGGGTCGGTTTCACAGTGTTCTGTAAAAGATACACAACTAACTTTTTTGTAAACTCATTGCTGCATGCGTGTGTGATGCAGGTGTGTGGCTGGATTCTTTCCTTCCGGAGACAAGTGCCAGGAAGCCATTAAGGCTGGGGAGCCGTGCTCTGGGCGAGGTCAGTGTGTGCCGGGAGCTGAATGTCGAGCTGACCTTGGTTGGGTGTGCACATGCGACTACTCACTTTACGTAGATAACTATGGTGACTGCCAGAAACGTGAGTATATATTCTAATGATCAATGTCAAGTAGCTTCTTCATGAAGTAGCCAGTTCTGAGTATATATTCTAATGATCAATGTCAAGTAGCTTCTTCATGAAGTAGCCAGTTCTGAGTATATATTCTAATGATCAATGTCAAGTAGCTTCTTCATGCAGTAGCCAGTTCTGAGTATATATTCTAATGATCAATGTCAAGTAGCTTCTTCATGAAGTAGCCAGTTCTGAGTATATATTCTAATGATCAGTATGAAGTAGCTTCTTCATGAAGTAGCCAGTTCTGAGTATATATTCTAATGATTAGTGTGAAGTAGCTTCTTCATGAGCTTCTTCATGAAGTAGCCAGTTCTGAGTATATATTCTAATGATCAATGTCAAGTAGCTTCTTCATGAAGTAGCCAGTTCTGAGTATATATTCTAATGATCAATGTCAAGTAGCTTCTTCATGCAGTAGCCAGTTCTGAGTATATATTCTAATGATTAGTGTGAAGTAGCTTCTTCATGAAGTAGCCAGTTCTGAGTATATATTCTAATGATTAGTGTGAAGTAGCTTCTTCATGAAGTAGCCAGTTCTGAGTATATATTCTAATGATCAATGTCAAGTAGCTTCTTCATGCAGTAGCCAGTTCTGAGTATATATTCTAATGATCAATGTCAAGTAGCTTCTTCATGCAGTAGCCAGTTCTGAGTATATATTCTAATGATTAGTGTGAAGTAGCTTCTTCATGAAGTAGCCAGTTCTGAGTATATATTCTAATGATTAGTGTGAAGTAGCTTCTTCATGAAGTAGCCAGTTCTGAGTATATATTCTAATGATCAATGTCAAGTAGCTTCTTCATGCAGTAGCCAGTTCTGAGTATATATTCTAATGATCAATGTCAAGTAGCTTCTTCATGAAGTAGCCAGTTCTGAGTATATATTCTAATGATTAGTGTGAAGTAGCTTCTTCATGAAGTAGCCAGTTCTGAGTATATATTCTAATGATCAATGTGAAGTAGCTTCTTCATGAAGTAGCCAGTTCTGAGTATATATTCTAATGATCAGTATGAAGTAGCTTCTTCATGAAGTAGCCAGTTCTGAGTATATATTCTAATGATCAATGTCAAGTAGCTTCTTCATGAAGTAGCCAGTTCTGAGTATATATTCTAATGATCAATGTCAAGTAGCTTCTTCATGAAGTAGCCAGTTCTGAGTATATATTCTAATGATCAATGTCAAGTAGCTTCTTCATGAAGTAGCCAGTTCTGAGTATATATTCTAATGATCAATGTCAAGTAGCTTCTTCATGCAGTAGCCAGTTCTGAGTATATATTCTAATGATCAATGTCAAGTAGCTTCTTCATATCTAATGATCATGCAGTAGCCAGTTCTGAGTATATATTGTCAGTTATACAGATGTAAATTCATAAGTTTTTTTTTTTTGGGGGGGGGAGGGTGGTTATTATCTGTTAACCCTTTGTACTATGGATATCGCAACCCTTCAGCCTTGATTCCATTATAGAAACCGTAAATCTGGATTTTCGTAGTAGTATGTTTTTTCTCAGTGCGGTTAAAGAGGATATTGTTTCATTTATTTCTTGACGATAATGTGTCAGTTTGTAATACCAGTCTGGACAGTCTTAAATGTGTGTGATGTATGAAGTAACAATGTATGTGTGGTGAATAGCTTGGTAGTAAATGAGTTCATGATAGATAATAATAATATTAAGTAAAAAAAAAAAACAAGTAAAGATCCCTTTCCACGCCTTTAGGCGTTTCGGGCATTTGGGAAGAGCGACCATATTTTTACAGACCATCAGCACTCGGTGGGTAATGTGGTCAGCATTGGGTCGGCTGTCTTTACTTTTCCAAGACAGCACATCCTGGTACCCATTTTAGGCTAGGTCGACCTGCAACACCCCATACCATGATAAAAATCCACGCAGCCAGCAGTGGGTTTCGATCGCGGTACGCTGGATTACGAGTCGGACTCCCAACGCCTAAGCCATGGATGCTGCATAAAAATAATAACAAATTATATTTCTCTATTCCTTTGGGGGTGGGTAAAATGACTTTCAGCTCAAAATAATAATGCCTATTATGTCATGTTTTCTGCTCAAGATATTGTGGTAACCCTAGGCCTTGACCAAATCTGGCTTATCGTTTATCAGTCTACCGCCCAGTGAAACAGAACCAGCCAGCGAGACATAACTAGCTAGTCTGTCTGGCAGACAATCTAATAATCTATGTTTTCGTTGACCAGGCAAGCCACCAGGAAAACCTTGCAATGACAGCAAAGAGTGTGTGAAAGATAGCACATGCAGGGGTGATGGTGCCAACATGGTGGAGCCTGCCAGTGATGGATTTGTGTGTCTATGTGATAGAGGATTTGTAGCTGCTGAAGATCTGTGTATAAGTATGTTAGCTTGTATGACCTCATGACATTATGTGTCTAGGTGTTCATGTCTCTCAACTACTCTCTGTCCTTAGTGTTCTTGATTAAACCTATTGATGATATTACTCCATGTCAGTGTTTTAACCCTTTTGCCCTGGCGACCTAGAAAGAAAAAAGACAAGTTCCAAAAATTTCCATTTACCGGACATTCCTGAAAAAATCTTTTAAAAAAATACTAACTTAAACCATGTAACCCAGAAAAAAAAAATGGCACGAAATCAATTTTATCAACTAAAACATGAGCAAAGATTAGAGAGTGAAGAAATAAATTTAAAAAATAAAATGAATGCAGCATTGAATTAACTGGCTTTTATCTCTTCGGGACTGTAAACTAATTTTAGCGTGACATTTATTTCATCCTATACCTGGCCACCAAGTAACCGCTGTAGCAAATGGGGAAGTTACAATGAAGAAGTTTAAATTTCTATTTTAAAAAAAAGAAAAGCCAATTTTTTTTTTTTTAAAGGAAACACAATTAATAGATATTTTTTTGTAAAGATGTCTTTATGGCAAGTCAGGAAAGCGGCTTTTACTGGAAAATGGTACCAACCAGAAGTGTCAGTTGTGTGGCTTCTTTGAGTGAAAGGGTTAAACCACTGAGCATCATTTGTCTTGGTTTGCCCCTGCCTCTTCTGCATCCCACACTTCCTAATTTCTTCATTCACATTTCAAGATTGGAAAACAGAGGTGCTGACCCACATGTGGTGGTGTACCAAGACCAAGGCTGATGCTAGTCAACATCTGCCTCTACTTCTCTCTACAGTCATCCTTGAAGCAGGTTCCCACCAGGAAGCCTGGCCAGTGTAGATATGATCAGTGTTTCCTTCAAGGTTGGAGTGCATCTGCCTGAGATACAAGGGCAACACTTTTTTTAAAAATAGATGTGCACACAACACTCCTGGAACAAGATCAAAGCTCAGAAGTGTATGAACAGCCAGGACTTTCTGCCAGAGTTTACAGCCGCTGAACGCAAAGAAGAAAATTCACAGCAGAACCAGACTCCTGGCCAACAGGGGCCTAGCAAGTGGTGCACAGATCATTGCCAGTTGTACTGAATTAATGATCTTGTGGACTGAGGCTCTGGCCCACGACAATTCCCATTTTCAAAGTTTTGGCTCTAGAGTAAACCGAGCTGAAAAGTCCTGATCTAGATGGCAGTTCAGTGAGAACATCTCAGATCTAGATGGCAGTTCAGTGAGAACATCTCAGATCTAGATGGCAGTTCAGTGAGAACATCTCAGATCTAGATGTCAGTTCAGTGAGAACATCTCAGATCTAGATGTCAGTTCAGTGAGAACATCTCAGATCTAGATGGCAGTTCAGTGAGAACATCTCAGATCTAGATGTCAGTTTAGTGAGAACATCTCAGATCTAGGTGTCAGTTCAGTGGGATCATCTCAGATCTAGATGTCAGTTCAGTGAGAACATCTCAGATCTAGATGTCAGTTCAGTGAGAACATCTCAGATCTAGATGTCAGTTCAGTGAGAACATCTCAGATCTAGATGGCTGTTCAGTGCATCTAGATCAGTGAAAATGTCTCAGATCTAGGTGTCAGTTCAATGAGAAAATCTCAGATCTAGATGTCAGTTCAGTGAGAACATCTCAGATCTAGATGGCAGTTCAGTGAGAACATCTCAGATCTAGATGTCAGTTCAGTGAAAACATCTCAGATCTAGATGTCAGTTCAGTGAGAACATCTCAGATCTAGATGGCAGTTCAGTGAGAACATCTCAGATCTAGATGTCAGTTCAGTGAGAACATCTCAGATCTAGATGGCAGTTTAGTGAGATCATCTCAGATCTAGATGGCAGTTCAGCGAGAACATCTTAGATCTAGATGTCAGTTCAGTGAGAACATCTCAGATCTAGATGGCAGTTCAGTGAGATCATCTCAGATCTAGATGTCAGTTCAGTGAGAACATCTCAGATCTAGATGGCAGTTCAGTGAGATCATCTCAGATCTAGATGTCAGTTCAGTGAGAACATCTCAGATCTAGATGTCAGTTCAGTGAGAACATCTCAGATCTAGATGTCAGTTCAGTGAGAACATCTCAGATCTAGATGTCAGTTTAGTGAGAACATCTCAGATCTAGATGTCAGTTCAGTGAGAACATCTCAGATCTAGATGGCAGTTCAGTGAGAACATCTCAGATCTAGATGTCAGTTCAGTGAGAACATCTCAGATCTAGATGGCAGTTCAGTGAGAACATCTCAGATCTAGATGTCAGTTCAGTGAGAACATCTCAGATCTAGATGTCAGTTCAGTGAGAACATCTCAGATCTAGATGTCAGTTCAGTGAGAACATCTCAGATCTAGATGGCAGTTCAGTGAGAACATCTCAGATCTAGATGTCAGTTCAGTGAGAACATCTCAGATCTAGATGGCAGTTTAGTGAGAACATCTCAGATCTAGATGTCAGTTTAGTGAGAACATCTCAGATCTAGGTGTCAGTTCAGTGAGATCATCTCAGATCTAGATGTCAGTTCAGTGAGAACATCTCAGATCTAGGTGTCAGTTCAGTGAGAAAGTCTCAGATCTAGATGGCAGTTCAGTGAGAACATCTCAGATCTAGATGGCATTTCAGTGAAAACATCTCAGATCTAGATGTCAGTTCAGTGAGAACATCTCAGATCTAGATGGCAGTTCAGTGAAAACATCTCAGATCTAGATGTCAGTCTAGTGAGAACATCTCAGATCTAGATGTCAGTTCAGTGAAAACATCTCAGATCTAGACGTAAGTTCAGTGAGAACATCTCAGATCTAGATGTCAGTTCAGTGAAAACATCTCAGATCCAGATGTCAGTTCAGTGAGAACATCTCAGATCTAGATGGCAGTTTAGTGAAAACATCTCAGATCTAGATGGCAGTTCAGTGAGAACATCTCAGATCCAGATGTCAGTTTAGTGAGAACGTCTCAGATCTAGATGTCAGTTCAGTGAGATCATCTCAGATCTAGATGTCAGTTCAGTGAAAACATCTCAGATCTAGATGTCTGTTCAGTGAGAACGTCTCAGATCTAGATGGCAGTTCAGTGAGAACATCTCAGATCTAGATGTCAGTTCAGTGAGAACATCTCAGATCTAGATGGCAGTTCAGTGAGATCATCTCAGATCTAGATGTCAGTTCAGTGAGAACATCTCAGATCTAGATGGCAGTTCAGTGAGAACATCTCAGATCTAGATGTCAGTTCAGTGAGAACATCTCAGATCTAGATGGCAGTTCAGTGAGAACATCTCAGATCTAGATGTCAGTTCAGTGAGAACATCTCAGATCTAGATGTCAGTTCAGTGAGAACATCTCAGATCTAGATGTCAGTTCAGTGAGAAGATCTCAGATCTAGATGGCAGTTCAGTGAGAACATCTCAGATCTAGATGTCAGTTCAGTGAGAACATCTCAGATCTAGATGGCAGTTTAGTGAGAACATCTCAGATCTAGATGTCAGTTTAGTGAGAACATCTCAGATCTAGGTGTCAGTTCAGTGAGATCATCTCAGATCTAGATGTCAGTTCAGTGAGAACATCTCAGATCTAGGTGTCAGTTCAGTGAGAAAGTCTCAGATCTAGATGGCAGTTCAGTGAGAACATCTCAGATCTAGATGGCATTTCAGTGAAAACATCTCAGATCTAGATGTCAGTTCAGTGAGAACATCTCAGATCTAGATGGCAGTTCAGTGAAAACATCTCAGATCTAGATGTCAGTCTAGTGAGAACATCTCAGATCTAGATGTCAGTTCAGTGAAAACATCTCAGATCTAGACGTAAGTTCAGTGAGAACATCTCAGATCTAGATGTCAGTTCAGTGAAAACATCTCAGATCTAGATGTCAGTTCAGTGAGAACATCTCAGATCTAGATGGCAGTTTAGTGAAAACATCTCAGATCTAGATGGCAGTTCAGTGAGAACATCTCAGATCCAGATGTCAGTTTAGTGAGAACGTCTCAGATCTAGATGTCAGTTCAGTGAGATCATCTCAGATCTAGATGTCAGTTCAGTGAAAACATCTCAGATCTAGATGTCAGTTCAGTGAGAACGTCTCAGATCTAGATGGCAGTTCAGTGAGAACATCTCAGATCTAGATGTCAGTTCAGTGAGAACATCTCAGATCTAGATGGCAGTTCAGTGAGATCATCTCAGATCTAGATGTCAGTTCAGTGAGAACATCTCAGATCTAGATGGCAGTTCAGTGAGATCATCTCAGATCTAGATGTCAGTTCAGTGAGAACATCTCAGATCTAGATGTCAGTTCAGTTAGAACATCTCAGATCTAGATGTCAGTTCAGTGAGAACATCTTAGATCTAGATGTCAGTTCAGTGAGAACATCTCAGATCTAGATGTCAGTTCATTGAGAACATCTCAGATCTAGATGGCAGTTCAGTGAGAACATTTCAGATCTAGATGTCAGTTCATTGAGAACATCTCAGATCTAGATGGCAGTTCAGTGAGAACATCTCAGATCTAGATGGCAGTTCAGTGAGAACGTCTCAGATCTAGATGGCAGTTCAGTGAAAACATCTCAGATCTAGATGTCAGTACAGTGAGAACATCTCAGATCTAGATGGCAGTTTAGTGAGAACATCTCAGATCTAGATGTCAGTTCAGTGAGAACATCTCAGATCTAGATGGCAGTTCAGTGAGAACATCTCAGATCTAGATGTCAGTTTAGTGAGAACATCTCAGATCTAGGTGTCAGTTCAGTGGGATCATCTCAGATCTAGATGTCAGTTCAGTGAGAACATCTCAGATCTAGGTGTCAGTTTAGTGAGAACGTCTCAGATCTAGATTGCAGTTCAGTGAGAACATCTCAGATCTAGATGGCATTTCAGTGAAAACATCTCAGATCTAGATGTCAGTTCAGTGAGAACATCTCAGATCTAGATGGCAGTTCAGTGAGATCATCTCAGATCTAGATGTCAGTCTAGTGAGAACATCTCAGATCTAGATGTCAGTTCAGTGAAAATG